GAAAACATCTCCGTGCACCAGCTTCCACCCAGTTTCTTCCAAGGTTTCGTCTTCTTCGTCATCCCGATTATACTGAGCGATGTCCCGACGTACAGTTCGCACGATAGTTACACTCAAAAAACCTGAAATTGAATCATCAAGAGTGTTGAGAAGGCCGGAAAAATCTCACCGGAAAGAGAAAGCACAGCAACGATTGAGTTCAAGATGCTGAACCAATGAATATCGACGGCGTTCGTCGTCAAGTAAACGTCCCATCGAGAGGGCCATGGGATATCAGTTTNNCCACCCCGTATCCATAACTCAATAATCATAATATTATTTGATCTCACTATATTCCGGTTTTCGTAATCAAATCTCTCGAGTTGTGAAAACAACACATTTTCATAATAAAACTTCAGTCTCTCATTCATTTTTCCTTCTATGAAACTGCGAATATTACTGAATTATAGGGAACACAAGACCAAGGCAAGTTGGGGGAAGAATCCAGAAATGACATGACGAAAAATGTAAAACAAGAGCCAAAACTGTTCGCAAATACGGATTATAAAACTTTTGGTTAAGTGTTAACAGGAGGGACAGGAGACAAGATATATTCCATGGTTGATATTCAATGATCCCGCTTTCGATGTTCCAGAGGCCATCAAAAATTTACAAAAAAGAGGGAGGGAGCTTGGATACCCGAATTTGTTGGAACGACAAAAAACATTAGTTTTCAAAATAAACAATACTTGAAAAATATACATTGAAAGCTGAACAAGGCTATAGTATGATCACTGGGGAATGAAAATGATGACATGACCAGCAGCATCGGTGAAGCCCATCAGATGACACGCTGATTACAGACCAGATGGTGGTGGGCCATTGTTTCCGGGTACTCCTGGAACATCCATCGGGATTCCAGGGAGAGAAGAAACGGAGGAAGTGGCTCCTGTTGACGACTGAAAATCAGAATTGTTTTTAATTTGAATGGAGACTGTATTACTTACTTGTCGTTCAATTTGGCTGAAGATGTCTGTGATAAGATTAGGATGACATTTGAGGATGTCATCCCATCCTGGAGTCCCAGTGACATTTTTTGGACGGGCCAAGATGAACTGAAACAATTTGGAAATATTAAGATATCTTCCTAATTGCTTTTACAATATATAAAATATGGAAACTTTTCACCTCATCTAGGAAACAAAAATCGGAGAAAATAACCAACAGAAGGTGGCATATCATTTTATAAAAGATTACTACGGTCTCAAGTGCTCACCTGAACAGCTCGCCTTCTCAGCTTGGCAGCAGTATAGATATCTCCAATAATAAGAAGACTGCATGCGTTTTCCACTGTGATATTTTCCACCAAATACTTTTCGCAATGATTTTTCAACTCGTCAATGCGATATTTATCTGCAGCGATTAGAAGAGCAGTCGCCATATCTGTGATATCTTTCTGACACCTTCCGCAATAAATATAATACACCATCTCGTATATAACATCAAAATCCATATCGTTTATGTACATCACTGACTGGAAATTTCGAATTATATAAATGGGAATTGACTGACTGACGAAACCAACCGTTCTAGCCTCATCTGTGTCTTGGTGGGTAAGCATCGCATTGAATACTGCAGAACGTGCAGCAAGAACTGCCTTATGTGCGCGGATTACTCTTCCGTTTACATTTATATCGAAATCAGTCAATAGTTCATCACAAAACAATCGCTGATAATCGTCCACTAGCTGTTGTTCCGTATTTATAGGTTCAAACTGAATAAAAAATAAATCTCGATTTTGGATTTCATAAAAAACTAACTTGAATTGGCTCATTGGTAGTTGTGATCGTCTCCACAGCTACATCAATTTCCACGTGGACAATTATCATATCACGAGGCATGATTTGAGGGAACAGAACGTCCCGTTTGATGTAGGAAACATAGTCAGAATGTGATGGGTTGGGATGAATCCTCATCTAAAAACAAGGTTATTTTACAAAATACTGTAAAATTTTTCAAACCTCTATATCTTTATTTTCCGCAGTTCTCAGCTTGAACTGCGATTTGAATCCAATCTTTCCAGCCTTCACATTATTATTAATGACTCGGTTCAGACATAAAAACACAAAATCCTTATTATTTTCGCCATTTCCTTTCGGATATATCTTAATGGACCATGTCAACTGTTCGTCGCCTCGTTGAAGATATACAAAGTTTTCGAGATATTCTTGGTAGCAGTGCGAAAAATTCTTTACTGTCCATGTATGTTGAACTTTCTCGACTTTGATTTCAGTTTGAGAAGAAACACCGAGTGCTGGAACTCCGACACAGACCACATCAGATCCAGAGTTGCCGACACCGCCGATGTAAACCCCGTCGACATGAGGCTCCATTCCTCTGAAAGAAAAGAAAATATCTTATGGCGAATCAAGTTTAAAAAGGCAATTTTCGAAGCTAACCACTAGGAAGAATTGTGATAAAAATGAGAAAACAATAGAGAAGCAAAACGAAATCGAACTAGATGAAAACATCGGAAAGTCGTTGAAAACAAATCGATAATTGGTGTTGTCTGGCGCCGAGGAAGCGACGAAGAGTGAGACGCAAGAAGTCAAGAGAAAAAAGTGACAAACGAGGGGAAAAGTGTGCGCAAACATAGTTTTTGAAGATATCAAAAGTTATGAAACGATATGAAATGAAGAGTATGCTATAATACTGGCGAATTAGGAAAAACTGGCACCTGAGGTCCTGGGAACCGCCGCTTGTGTTGATCTACGCGGTAAAAAAGATATTTCAGACTTCCCGCCTCGCTCCGACGTTTTCCCGCAATTAAGTTCGGTTTCTCTTTTCAGAGAGCGATTATATTTTTACCAAAGATCTTAATTTGGTTCATAAAATTGTATAGAAATAAATTCCCTTCAAACAGTATCCTTGTTAAGACGAGGCCTTGTAAATCGACACGAGCGCTACTCGCGAGATTTTCAGGTGCCAGTTTTTTTTTATCAGTTCAACAATATGGGTAACTTCATACAGAGGAGAAGGAAAAAAGTACGCGTGGTTTCATGAGCGGGACAATGTAAATAAATAGACGAGATAGAAGGATAGTGATTCGGTTTCTGTGAGAACTACAAAATATGAAAACGGAAAACTCTCATTCAAATGTCACACAACTTCTGTTTAACCTTAATAGTAGATAATAATATGAAATCATAAATGAGTCATCATGAAAGCTGCGCTATAATCATAACATCAGCCCTAAAGCGATAAATAGCGATAAATTGTAACATCTCGTTTGACAACTACACTATATGTAGCTGAGAATTCAAATCATAGATATTATGAGAATTTTGGGGAACTCAAAAGAATAAAAGCATCAAACATCAGTGCTACAATAACTACGTTGAAGTTTTCGCGATCAAACTTCGCACACTCCAGTTATAAAAAAAACAACTGTGATGAGAACATAATGTTTCAAATATTAGTTGAAAGAGACTCTCGAAGTAGAGTGAAAAACAATGATCGTTGTGCAATTGAAAAATAGTAAAACGAACAAACTGCTGCTAGTTTTCGATATGTTCAGAATCACAGATCGACGACATACATGCTAAAGAACATACGTGATGTTTCACTTAGTGCCACAAATAAAGAAATATGCTCGTCGGTTGTTGGAGCCAAACACAAAAATTCGATAATAAGAAACAGAAAACGCACCCAAGTAGGAATACTAAGGAGAAAGGAAGCAAAAAGAAAAAAAGAGGGACCCACAGTAGAAAAGGAGTATGGTCGGCCAGAAAGAAGAGGTCTCAAGTCGTAGCCTTCTTCCCTTGCCGCTTTGTTCAGTGATGAGAACAAAGACTGAGGGAAATAGAGAGTTTGCAGAGAAACGAGACATCGGATAGATCGCTCTAACACGTGAGGCGCAGACGATCAACGGTCAAACAGCAAGGCCATAGTCCAGAGAACCGATTGAGACTAGACAGCAGACTATAAATAACGCGTAGCATAGGAAGAGAATTAGATGAATTGAAAGAGATAAATATTATCGAGAACAGTTGACTACTCACCAAGTAGGAAGTAAATTTCGGGTCACAAATTTTGAAGACGCATTGTGGAAAAAGCGGTTGAGCGATTGCTTACGCACCGTTGTTAGCACTTCGACAACCTCGCGAATAGTTTGACCATTTGAACTTAAAAATAGAGTCTAGTTTCCAGACTAGTCGTCATCTAGAATTGTTTTTTGTCTACGCTTTTCAGTGTCGTTTTAACTGCTTTAAAGTGTTAAAAATTTTGAGTGTTGAAAATTTCGCAATTTTCAACACTCACATTT